AATAAACTTCAGTGTTTGTTGTAAACAGCTCAGGGAAGGGAAATCTTTAAGTTTCTTTGAATCAACCATTTTGATTGTCTCAGATCACCCTTTGTATAAAAAAGGCTTGATTTTTCCTTCTGAAATTCCTTCGCCCTTATTCTCTAGTATATTGCATGAAAATTAAAAATATTCCTTTTAGTAGTTCTGAAATGGTTTGTTTTCTGCCCAGAAAGTAAATGAAATTTATTAGCTAGTTTGACTTTTCTAGCTTTTGTATGTACCCAGTTTCAAAATGTTAGTCTAAGATGTCTTGTACACAGAAGCTCAAAGTCTTCCATAAAGATTGGGAAAGCTTACAGGGAAAACATTTCCACCAATCTGTGTGAAAATAAGGGCTAAAATGTCTGTGTTTCAGTGCAACATGAGACTCCCAGCTGGCCAGACAGATTAGGGTACATGTGGGCTAAGGGGTTTTCAATAGCACTCTATGCCGTGTTTAACCTTCTCTGCTAAAATTCCCCTGCATTGCTAACGCTGATGGGCTCTGGGAATGCTAGCAATGATGGAAGCCATAATGTAGACAAGGCACTTGTGGTTGCCAGCATTTTATCTTTCTGTCTTCTTTTCTTGCTCAGAGCAAACCTCTTACAAAGTATATCCATGTGATGTAGGCAGAGGATGATGTATTTCTTTCATCTGCCAGCCTGTCCCCTGGCCCTGAGTTGCGCTAGAGTTGTAAATGGCTACTCAGGGTTGTCTGTACTGTTTCATCGGGCAGCTTTCAAGATTCTTGCTCAATTCAGTAGCTGCTGATTTTATCACTTACCTCATCACAATTTTTTAGTCATTCTGCTAGAAATGAAGCAGGTACAGGAAGTTAAGGTGCAAACACAGATCGACATTCAAATCCTTGCTGTCAAATCCATTTGACTGTATTGGAGGTTAAACTATTGGAGACAAAGCAATGATAAAATGGGCAGACCAGCTTTGCCTTTGGGGAAAAGTAGCTGTTGCTTTGAGACTTTCACATCCTGCCTCAGCTGAAGCTGGGTAGTGGTAGAGAGGGGCAGCCTTCTGTCTCATGTCTTGCACAGGATCCATCCTCTGTGTCACAGTTTCTTTCAGCTGGCAATTGGGGAGGTTAACATCCTGTTCACAGATCGAGGACAGCATGTGCTCCTTGCAAAACAGCCTGTTGGTACAGCAGAGAAATCTGTACAGCACAAGGAACCACTTTTTTCAGAGAAAGGGCCTGCTCCTGTCAGCTGCTCAAATTCTCCCATAGTCAGCTTTTAATGACTTCAGTGGAAGCTGCAGTAGCTCAGCATATTGAGGGATCAAGCCCAACATGCAAGCACCAGCTACCAAGGTGCAGAGGGTCGCATCAGCTCCTCTTTGCTGAACTGAAGGGCTACACCCAGAACTCATGCGTCAAAATGCTGATGTGTTTAATGCCGTTTTTCAGGCAACGCTTTCCCAGTGTACTTACTTTTAATGCCACCTGCTCCTTGTGGCTAGCTCAGTAACTCTTTCTTTTCCAACCTATTGAGGGGCTTCTATGTAACTAGCCACAGGGAATGAATGAATGCAATACATTTACTCCTTCCCAGGACACAGAACAGCTTAGGAAATGTATGATTCATAATGGCTGAATGACTATAATACAACCTAAAATCATGCAAACTTGACTAGTCTAGGGTGTTACAGATTCAAAACAGCCTAGTATCACTGAAAATTGTTGTAAGTGTGAGTAGTGCTTGTGTGCTAAAGCAGGGCTGCTCAACTGGTGGCCAACAAGGGGTAAATAGGCAGCGCCTGGGCTCACTTGACTCTGGGCTCTGCTTCCCCCAGCCTTCTGGCTGCAATAGCAGGTGGTGTCTCCAGGCTCCGCACCTCCACCAGCTTCTGCTTCCTGCTTTTGCCTCAGGAGGTGCGGCAGTGGTGCAGGCTCAAGGTGAGCCTGAGGCTGCACCCAGAGGGGATCAGGTCTGCATGTGAGGTGCAGGGAATATGCCCACACAGCGCAGTGTGAGCGGGGGAGAGTGTCTACATGGTATGCCTGGTGTAGCTCTTGCAATGTGAAGCCCTCCGCAGGTGTAGCCCTCTAGGACATGTGGCCCCTGGGGGCTTAGAAGTTGGACAGCCCTGCATTACAGCGTTGTGCTGCTGTAGCTAGGTGTTGGTTCTTCTGTGAGTGGATCGCTATCCACATCACTTACAAAATAACAGCTGGTCTCAGGAGGGGCCAAGGCCGAAGGAATATGGAAAGGGAAGTATGCTCTCAGCTTTAGATCAGTTCCTTCAACTCTAGGTTGAGGCTCTTCGACTTTTGCAGTGAAATTTGCACTTCCACTGTTCTGAACCTGCTTAGCTCCATGCCCCTGAAGCTGTTTGTGGGAGAAACACCAAACATCTGCAACAATAACAGTATCGCTTTACAGTGTGAGGTACTAGATAGGGGGCATAATCCTCCTCATTGAAAAAGACAAGTGGAAGTCCCCTTCTGGAGCCCTTCAGGATATTATACCTTCAATCTGTCCTATGCAACCCTGCAAATAGCCAGCTAGAACATCCACCTAGAAAGATCCATGCTATCTCAAGGTTAATTCTTAACTGCTAAAGGGCAAGCCTTCATAATGAGCCACTGCAGTGACCTAGGCATGTATATTCGCAACCCCAGTAGCTCTGGCTGGACCCGATGATCTTCAAGGTTCCTTCCAGCCCCTAATAATCTATGAATCTATGAAACAATCTAGATCTTGTGCTTATTTATTCAGCCTTCAGTCAATATTTATATGAAGAAAAGTCTATCCATTCTAACTACAATGAGACTCTGGCCTGACCGCTTCAAACAGACAGACAAAAAGCCTGGAAGCCCAGGATGCTCAGGATTAAAGGTCTGGAGGGATTACTCAGTCCCAGCTCCTCCCTCCCTCTTACCTGCCAGACAAATGATCATTTCCCATCTGCCCTCTGTGCCCAGATGTCACATACAACTCAAGAATTCATCCCTTCTGATGTCAAAGTTTAAGCGGGGTGAAAAAGAGGACAAAGTTCATCCTGCTCTTTCCAATACCCCTGAATTTTGCTGCCCTCAAAAATGTAGAGAGAGGGAATCCATGTGAATACTGACTTTGCCCCTTATGCAGCAGATGACCTGGGGAAGTGCTAGGGGAGATGGAGGAGCAGTGCTACAGGAGATAGGAGAGCAGTGTCAGGAGCCAAGAAAGAGAGGCAAGAAAAGTAGAGAAGGATGTTATGGCTCTTTTTGACTTTGCTGCTTTAAGTTACCTTTATGGAGAAAGTTAAGAACTAGTTTTTGAGAGATCCCAAACCATCAAATTTCCCTGCCTAAATAGGGAGCACGTCTAGTCCATTGTGTCAATAAAATCCCCATATACATCATCATCTCATCCTGGCATACAGATCTAAGTAGCTAAGACCTGTTTCTGTAATGGAAATCCAGATCTTGAGCATTCATCGTGCCTACACATAACCAGGGTCAAATCAAGTTACCAGTCGCCAGATATCTATGCGGCACCCCTTGGGTTCTCTAGGGCAGTGGTCTCCAAAGTGGGGTGTGTGCACCCCAGAGGGTGCGCAAGACGACCCATTGGGGTGCGGGAAAAAAATATTAGAACTTCTATTTCTATAAATATACATATATTGGGGGTGCGTGCTCAAAATTTTTTTACTGATAGGGGTGCGTGATCAAAAAAGTTTGAAGACCACTGCTTTAGGGCCACAGATGGGCTAAATTCAGATGGTGACGTTTGCAGATAAAAAATTGGCTGGAAGCAGAAGGATATGGTATTAACTTAGACGCAGGGGCAGGCAACTATTTTGGGTGGAGGGCCGCTAACTGAGTTTTGGCAAGCCATCGAAGGCTGCATGACAAACAGCCAGGGGCAGATAAATATTAATTTTCTAAATTTTAGGGACCCTGTGGGCTGGATACAATGGCCTGGCAGGCGGCATTTTGCCCACCCCTGGAAGAGTGTCGACCTCCTTCTTGCACCAAGATGTTCTGGGATCCGGCTCATGGGTGACTGGTGCTGCCTTAGTCAGGGGGGCATGTGCCCCCCCCTGCAACCAGTCCCGCTGCTGTGGGAGGGGGGTTCCCCCTACAGCCGATCCTGGCAATGGGGTGGGGCGCCCTGCAGGCAACCCAGATCCGAAGTGGCTGTAGTGATCGCAGTGATCAGCCAGTGCTTGCAGGGGGGCACCGGAGCTCCCACCTGCCCCTCCTGCCTATCGCCTAAGCGGCGATCATGGCCAGTCAGGAGGTGCACGGGTGTGCTTAGAGGGTGCACGTGCACCCCCTACACATCGCCACTGATTCGGCCCTTTGGTCCAAACAGCCCTTGTTCTCAATGGTGCCAGTACAATTTCTGGCCAGATGTCGACTCTGGGGTTTTTAAGCTGGCGAAATTTCAGAGGCTGTATATTTAAGATGCACCAGAATTGGCTCAACATGATTCCTCTTCAGCTGGGAATCCAACCCAGGGGGGCCAAAAGCTCCCTGGGTTTAGGATCTAATGTGTCTCTGGGATCCTGCTTTTTAAGGACACTGTGCTCCTTCTCTGCCTAGCTGTGGGGAGGGCTGGGGTCCAACGCGGGCTAGATCCCAGCTCCCTGCTGCACGGGTGGGGGGCTGGGGAATTAGGAACAGAGGGGCTTAGTGGGAGCGGAGCTGGGCTAAAAAGTGTCAGCATCCTCCTTGCCCCAGCGTGTTTCCGAGGGGATGGAGTGCCAGCACCCTCCTTGCCCCCCACACGCAAGCTGTTTCCGAGGGGATGAAGAGACGTCGGCGGCACGGGGCTGAGCGTGTCATGAAGCCACGGGGGATCCCAGGGGCGGGAGGCAGAGGAGCGGGCGGGCGGGGGGAGAAGGAGGCGCGAGGGGGAGGCGGGCCGGCGCTAGGACCGCGCGGCGCGCTCGGGTCCGGAGGTGGTATAAGGTTTG